ACAGCTAGCATCTGCTTTAAAAGGTTCCTCCAAGACTTCCCAATAACAGTATTTTGTGCATCTCAAAGAGGGAGCGATCCATTCTTTCAAACTGAGACAGTCTTCTCAGATCACTCCAAACATTAAACACTTCAAAACATTACTGCATCTCAAGTTTTGAACGAGTTCATATTTAAATAAGTTATCATCTAAATATAACTGAAATAAGCACATCTGTAGTCTTAGTATAAACTGTCAAACTCTAACCACAGTATACAAGTAAAGACAACATTTGTTCTAGGCTAATATTCTTTATAAAGAAAAGTATGTGCTTGAGAAATGTAAATGCACAGAATTACCTAGATTTGAGAATTTATTATGTGCCTTTTAACGACTGGCTAATATTAAAAATAAAAACAACAAAGTATTTCACCAGTAAGGTAAACTAATGCACTGGCTATCTTGAGAAACCTCTATTACAAATTTACCTTTTATGTTATAAAGACGTATATGGCAAGATTTCATTCTCAATGACATGACACAGGTAGAAATACATGTGCCTATCATTAAGTGAAGTATTTAGATTTCTTTACTAAAAAAAAAAAAAGAAATCCCTTAATTACTTCATTTTATCGGTTTTTGCTAAATGAAAAGGCCAATAATGATTCAGATAAACACAGAGACAATGTAAAGTCACAAGTAACCTCTGGGAACACATGATCAGTTACTTTCTAGCTTACATTGTAGGAAATAGTATCTATTTGTTTCATTCATTCAACAAGTATTACTGAGCACCCACAACGCACCAAGAATTGTGCTCAGCACCTACAGAATTATTAACAAGAACAACTTGGTTCTTGCTCTGTAAGAGCTTATAATCTATTACTTGTTAGGAAAATAACAAATCAGAAAACATTAATGAAAAAATAAAGGAGGAAAATGTCACAAAGTGCCAAAATAAAAAAGTAAAAATTCCAAGCATATCAAATAGGTGTTAAATAACTTAGAGAGGAAGTAAACATTGTTCAAAATTATTTCTGAGGAAATAATTTAGGCAAGCAAAAATGTCATGGTAACAGTGATCTTGAAAGCAAGAGGACAAAGACAGCAGCATAAGCTTAAAGAGCTCATATAATCACTTTAGGCACCATGAAAAGCTTAGTATGAAAACATGCACCACTCATTGCTTTGGCATGTATTGCTGTGGAATTTAAATACTAGGCCACAGATACAGAAAAACACTGGAGATTACTGAGCAAAGAAATACATTTTACTTTTTATTTTTATTTTTTATAGGAAACAGCAGTCTTGAAGCAAGAAAACCAGCTCAAAAACAGTTGAGTATCCTAGGGATGGGAATGGGACAACCCGGGCTGTTACAGATCTGTGAGTCTGTCTTACTCAGTATTAAAGTAAGAAAATCAAATTCATTTGTAAAATATAATTACTCATGGATATACTATCAAAAATTCACCACCAAACCTGAATAATTAATTAGACATTTTATTTCCATATTAATCCAAGAAAGTTGATACCACAAGCTATTAAATCTGGAAGGGAGCTCAAGACTTAATTTCATTCTTTTCATAAAAGAGGAGGAAAATAAACACTCAAGGAAGAGTAAACCAGCTAATAGGACTCTGTTGGGCAAAGGCAAAACTCAGCTGATAAAAGATAGCAGAATTTAATGTTCTTGGTGATTAAAAAGCACATACAAAAAGAATAAAACAAGAAAACACTTTAAAGAGAAAACATGTTTTATTCTGAATGGATATGGAGGAAGACAGCCTTATACATGATCATATTTTGACAGAAATTTCTGCTGCAAAATATTTACTATTATTCCTAAGCAGAAAAAAAATTTCAGTAAATACTTAAAAAAAAGAGAGAGAGAGAGAGACCCCTCCAAAACCCTACATACTATTTAAAGTTCATTTATTAGTAAGGTCCCTTCCAGCAGTACAATTTTCTAATTCTATAATTAATTGACAAGTATGACTTTCCCAAAAAGTTGCTGCATCAGGAGGTAATTTCATCTACATGATAGGTAACTGAGATAAATTTGAAAGATAATTATGATTAAGTTATATTTGCTATTTCTAGGTATTTACTCAGCCTGAACTGGAAAAAATAGCATTCTAGCTTATCTTATAAATGAAGAGGAGAAAGCACTGAACATATCACTTCTTGAAGTGACTAGATGCATTTCAATTTTACAAACCCTGTTTTACCTTGGATTGCTATTGTCTAGTCTGCATATTGTTTTAGAAACAAACTTTACAATTGCTTGTCATATTCAGTAACATTTCAAAGACCACAATCATTCTGCAAACACAGACTGCTTCTTATTTTATTCTTCAGCTGGTCTAAGCAAGACAACTTAGACGTGATCAATACAGCAGATATCTGACAGAAGACTGACCTGTTCAGGACCTTGGTACATATCAAAATCCAGATGGTAAGTCTCTTTCATAAAAAAATGCCGTAATATATGCACATAACCTATGGACATCTTGTATAATTTAAATCATCTCTAGATTACTTATAATACCTAATACGATATACATGCTCTATACATAGGTAACTACATAGCTGTTCATGTGTTGGAAAGGGAATACGACAAGGCAAAGTCTGTTGGTGTTCTGGAAAAACGTAATTTATTTTTCATGCGCTACAATTAGTTGAAACAGTGGATGAGGAAACCTGAAGTTATAAAGAATCAACTATTTTTGAAGATTATATAGCCTTCAGTCCCAAAATCTATACAGTTTTTAGTAAACTTTTAAAAAGATGGATGGCAAAACCATATATTCACTGCCATCAATGATACAGGCACCCTACTTCTTCTCAATTATCTTCATTATAATTATTATTCATTAATAATTCTGAGCATATGTAAACAGAAGAATGATGTAGGAAAATGATCAGCTCATCATTAAGAGAAAGTTCACAGACCTTTAAGAAAGAATCTTAGAGTCCTTGAGGATTCAGTATATCATGCTTTCCCAGCTTCATAATGCTGAAAAAAGGTTAACTAGCTTGACTAAAAGGACGGACCCATATTTGTTAGGTAGGAAGGGGGGTACTAGAAAATGATCTAATTTTGAGAAAACAATGCCTATTCTCTTGAGACTTTCAGAGCTAGTATCCTATTCATTCATTATCCTCACCGGGACCAACCGAGGGAGAATTCTAAACATTTAAATAGTCAGGTGTACTTTATGACGCATAAACATTGGACTAGAAAAAAAGTAGTAGAAAACCATGAAGCAAAATTCAGAAAATCTGAAGTATACTGACTAGCAAGTAAACTTACTAGGAAGGCAGTCACTGGCACAGCTAAAGAGAAGGGGCCATAAAACAAACTGTGACCAGCTTATGCCAATTACTTCAAAAATAAAATCTGCATTGTACTGAAAATGACTAGCTGGCATCTCAGGTTTGCTAGTGCAACAGCACCATTACAGCAAGGGTAAGCAGGTCAACCCCTTGCAAAACTTACCTTGATTGGCCCAATGGAAACAGAAGGCCCCAGAAAAGAGAGAAGCATCTGGCAGTAGCAAATTGTTTTATTTTATCTTTCTGTGGAAAGAAACTAATTTTAAATAAGAACCAGAGCATTTAAAGAATAAATATTTTTTAAAAGCTCATTATCTAGTTAGAGCAGCTCTACCAAGAAAACAGGAAGGGCTCTGTGCTGCTTAGAGATGGAAAGGTACAGAAGAAGGATCAGAGTTGTCTCTGCATCTCCTAGGGAGCTTAAAGTACTGTTATTCTAGAGTAACAGAGCAAAAGAATCTTTTATATAAGGAACTCTTGCAGGCAGAATCTTTTCAGTCTGGTGCCTTTGAATAAAAAATTTATACAAAATTAAGGGCTATATTCCAAATATAAAAGAAAACCACTTGACATTGAGCCATTCAACTTTTAAGGTAAAATAAAAAGAGAAACACAACAAGTTCCTGTTTCCACTACAATTTCACCAATAACTTTAGTCTTCATTGCTTAAGCCATTATTATCAAAGTCAACAGCACTCATTAGCAAAAGAAAATATACAACTGGCTTTCCAAAATAGTTTGCTAACTGAAATTTTCCCGACTTATCAAGACATTCATATGGAATAACCCAGGCTGCCCAAGGATCTGTGTATTATAGAACCTTCCATAGGACACAACTGTTCATGAAACTGAAGCTCTGGCCTTTCTGGAACACTTCTAACTTAGAAAGAGAAATTCTGTCTACCAGTGTCACTGAGTCAACTAAAATCTTTTGATCCCAATCACTCCTACAAAACGTCCACTTACAATTTGTGCTAGGGATGCAAGGGGCAACTGACAAGCAGGAGTGCTGAAGCAATAATCACTTTAAAAATTAGGTAGAAAATGAGCTAGCTATTTGTCACTGTACAGGGAAGAATTAGTAGTAGAGCATAGAATCCCTTCACACCCAACAAGATATTCCAAGAATAAAATCCATTCTAAATGAAAATCCCAAGTAATGGCTATTTTTCTGATGCTACACATTTATACAGTTCACCAAAATTATTTTATATCTATATTTACTCCTAGACCATTGAGTATCAACATGCCTGGAAAAAGTCATTAAGTCAAAGAGCCTAGATGCATAATGTCACTTTAAAGATTTTGTTTTTGTTTTTCAAGACAGGGTTTCTCTGTGTCACCTTGGCTGTCCTGGATCTCGCTCTGTAGACCAGGCTGGCCTTGAACACAGAGATCGACCTGCCTCTGCCTCCCCAGTGCTGGGATCAAAGGCATGTGCTCCCACGCCCAGCTTAAAGATTCTTAAATCTTAATTTTGTTGAGGAAGTCAGTAAATTTTTTTCTACAGTCTTACTACATTCAAAATTTGGTTACAGTCATGACCAATATTTGTCTTGTTTGAAAATATGTGGATATAAACTAATCCTTAAACAGCCAAAAGTACAGCACTGACCTACATTTTAAAATTTTGATACAATAAAGCACAAATAAAGAAAACAAAGTAAAAAACATATTCTTACTTGTCCCATTGGAGGCCCTCCCATAGGGGGCATCATCTGTGGCATCATTCCATGAGGTACAGGAGGCATGTTTGCTCTCTGACCCATAGGGTGCATTCCCATTGGTGCATAATGCATGCCAGGATGCCCCATCTGAAAAGTAATGAAAAACGTAAAGTGAGCAAGACACAGTACATGTTTCTCAAAAATGTGACTTATAAAAAAAAAAAAATCAATTGACCTGTAAGGCACAATATTAAGTCAAACTGTGATTAAATTATTAGATTAGCATATACTAACATTAATCTCTTTTTTTTTTTTTGGTTTTTCGAGACAGGGTTTCTCTGTGTAGCTTTGGTGCCTGTCCTGGTTCTCGCTTTGTAGACCAGGCTGGCCTCGAACTCACAGAGATCTGCCTGGCTCTGCCTCCCGAGTGCTGGGATTAAAGGTTTGCACTACCACCGCCGGGCACTAATATTAATCTTGAAACAAAATACACTATAGTGATTATTTTAAAGAGCCTGAAAATTAACAAAACAGGGAAAAGTTAAATCCATTATCAGATTACAGCCCCCTTCCCCCCACAATGATTTAATCAATTGCTAAATGACTGCCTAGACTTGGTGGCTATGTATTGAATTCCAACTTAAAAGTTGTTACGGTGAACACAACTTTGTCCCCTTTATACATATAACCAGCTTCTATTACTTAAAATTACATTAATTTGGATAAGGTTTTGTCATAAAACAGAATGTGGGTACTGAAGAGTACTTCATTTAGAAATAAATACACTAGTTCCTAAGTCAAATATTTTAATATAGGTAAAATATCAAACAAAGACTGTCATTCTGTCCCAGAAACTAAATGCAAATAACAAACCCGTTTAGCGAACTTAAAATATTACACATACACACATATTCATACATACATACACACATATTCATACATACATACACACACACATTCATTCATTCATACATACATACATATATATATACGTCCATTGTTCCTGGCCCGAAACTAAGTATCCGCTGCCAATTCTCCCAACAGAATCCCCCACCCCTGCAAACCCCCACCACCGCTCCCGGAGCAAACAAACTATGGCAGCTTCTCCCTGAAGTCCTACAGACTTAAGGCGCCCTGCTACCACACAGGCCTGGGGCTCTCAGAAGCACAGCCCGCCCGGGTCCCAGCACCTTCCTACGGTGTCTGTCTAGGCCAAGACCACTGGGACGTCCAAGGTCCCACATCCGTCTTTGTGCATTCCCGCCCTCCATTCCTCTCTCCCTTGGGACGGAGCCCACCATCTGGAGCTCTTCCTGGTATACTCTTCTCCGTTTGGAGAAAGCTTCCTGTTTCTCTGACTCGGTTTTTTCATTGTGCCGCTTTCCCCTACCCAGCCGATCCCTTACCGAGGGCCGTCTCCTCAGGAAGCCGTCAGCAGAGACCCAAGAACTGGAGCACAGGTTTGAGCCGGACAATCTCCGCTCCCCGTCCCCGGGACCCCGCGAGGGAGGTTGGCTCTCCATTTCACTCACCATGAGGCCTCCACGCTCGGCTCCAGTCCCCGGCCTCATCGTCGGGCTCAGACTGCTCCGTCGGCGGCCACTGCCGCTACACATACCAACAAGAAGCGATCTGAGTGGCTGGCGCCCGCTGGGGCCAAAGGGTAAAGGCTGCCCTGAGCTCCGGGGCGGGATCAGCGGGGCCAATACACTGACGGGCTTCCCCGCTGTCCAATCAGAGCGCGCTACCGACACGCAGCTCTGCGGCGATTCGCCCCCGGCCTCAGCCTCGCTCGGCGTCGCCTGCATGGAGGGAGGGAGGGGACGGAGGAAGTTTCTGCGTCGAGTGCTCAGCCGGGGCAACTCCACCAACTTCCCCCAGGAAAGGGGACACGGCCGGGACCCAGCTTCCCGGCCTGGAACCACCTCACCCCCGCTGGGGGGGGGTGGGGCAGTGGCGTCCGGCCACCTCCGCCGCCACCCCTCCCGCCCTAGTTACGTTCGCCCCACAAACCTGAGGCCCCCCAGGGTGGGGTGGGGGCGGGGTAAGCGGCCCCCAGCGTTATCGGCCCTAGTGCGCGCGCGCGGTTGGCGTGGGTCAGGAGGGGGGGGTGGGGGGGGAAGAAGGGTCGAGCTGCGCGCGCGCCCGACGCTGAGCGCGCGCGCCCGGGCGGGCGGGCGGGGAGCGCTAGAGGTGGAGATAACACGCCGGAGGGAGGCAGCGATTGGCCGTTAGGGAGCGGCCCAGAGCGGAGCGGGGGAGCTGCTGTTTGTTATGGGGGGGTGGTGGGGGCGGACGGGCGGTGCGCGCCCACCGGACCTGGAAGGGCCGAGTGAGCCCCGCTTGTGAGCGTGTGCGTGTGTGTGCGTGTGTGCTCAGGGGCCCCGGGCGCGCGCTCCCCCGGAAGAGGAGCCCGCGGTGGTCGGTCGGTCTCCGCTCGCGCACCCCCCACGGCTCCGCGCGCGTTGGTCGGGCCCGCCGGCCGCCGCCGCCGCTGATTGGCTGTTGCCCGGGGCGCGGGGGCGGGGCGGCGGCGGACGCTCGACCTCCGCGGGTCTCCCTGTCTTTTCCCGCCATGTCGTTTGTAGCGAGTGCGAGGCCCGCGGGCGCGCGACGGCGCCGCCGGGTCACCCCTCGGGGCCCCGCGACTCGGCCTGGGTATTCCGACTTCGCTCAGGGGGATGGCTGGGGCGAGGGCGAGGGCGACGAGGACGAGGGATGCGACCCAGTGGCCCGCGACCTGCGGGCAGAGTTCTCAGCCGGGGCGTCGTCGGAGCCCAGGAGGGCCCCGCTCCTCCCGCCAGTCGGGGACGGGTCGCCCGTCCTGCCCGATAAGCGCAACGGCATCTTCCCGGCCACTGCGGCCGCCAGAACCCAGGCTCGGCGGTGGCCCGTCCAGGTCCTCTCCATTCTGTGTTCGCTGCTCTTCGCCGGCCTCCTTGCTTTCCTCCTCGCCATCGCCTACCTGGTCGTTAAAGGTACTGACTGAAGCCCCAGGCCCTTGTAAGTCTGTCCGGAGGAAAGTCGAGCCGGTGCATCACTCGCCCCATTCACAGTTGCCTCCCCGAAGCTTTTCCCTCGAAACTGTACCTTTCCTTAGTCGTCGTCCTTTTGTCTTCCCTCCCTAGATGGAGGACCCTGCTCCATAATGAGAACCGTTTAGAAAGGATCTGACTAAATCCACACTCTTAAAGGAATGTAAAGGCATGGAGCACTTGAGTTGAGACGTTAGCACGGCTGTTTTATCAGACAGAGTCCCTACTTTTAAAAGGTTCATGAAAAAGTGCATGTGACAATAGGCTCTAGATCTGCTAAGGTTGGTTCACAAATGAACAGAGAGAAATTGGAGGACAAAGATTTCTTTCCCGCATCCCAAATTTCTACTTTTTATAGGCAAAATAGCTTTTCTGTTCTGTGTTTGTAACGAGGTAGAGTTACTGCCGGACAGAGTCGTCTTCTGCTGGGTCAGAAATTGACATACTGGCCAAATAGGAATGCCCGAAAGACATTCTTCAGCCCTTCCCCGTTCGGATTTGTTGTATGGTTTAGTATTCATTATAGTGGACAGACATTTGAATTTAGAGTTAATGGTGTTGACTTTTGCCGATTTATTGAGAAATAGAAACCTCAAAACCGAGTATCATGTATTAAAAGGATTCAACACTTTGTCACTCCAGTGTTACTTTACTAATGAAAAATCAGATGCAGTTAGCCCTTGAACAGGTTACCATTGTTTGATTTTTGTGGGGAAGATAGATTACTTCACAACATATTATTGGCTGTTAACTATGGGCCTTAAAAGTTTGGCTGCCATTGCTTCAAATCTGTCACACTCTTGACCATTTTTTTTTTTTTACTTCAACCCTGATAGTTTTGTCGTGCACACAGTTTATTTTTCTTTTGTTATATAAAGTTATATGCCCATAAGTAGAAGTTCATCACAGAGGACATTGGTGTTTTCGACACTGGAGCAAGGAACTGAAGTCAAAACGATACTCTTAAATTTCTTTTGTACAAACTTTGTTCAGCACAACCAGGAGATAAACACTACTCTTATATTTATGAGTCTTGTAAAAGCATTTGCTTGCCGAAGGTGACGTAGGTCGTAAATCAGAAGTTGAACCCAGCTCTGACTCCAGGATACTTTTGGCTGTTGAACAGTTTGGATATTCATGTCGTGAAGAAATACTATTCTACCCAAACCTCTCTTTGTGTTTACAGAATTGCATGCAGAAAATTTGAAAAATGAAGATGATGTAGATACTGGGCTGTTAGGTATGAACTGATCATTTTTTTTCATCCCATCACTTACTTTTGCTTTTCTAAATTATATTTAAGTTATACAGGTTTGGGGATAAAATATTTTATATATACCATGTATAGTTGATTCATTAGCATTTTTTCATATATATGGTTGTGGTTAATGTTATTAGACCTCCTTTTTAGATAGACATTTAGCTATTTTCCATAATTTTATAATGGGTCACTAATGCATGTTTACAGAATTCAACATAACTGCATTACTTGGGTCCAGCAAATACTTAAGTCATTTCTAATTATGTTTTGAAAAAGGCTTCCTATACTCCTTCAGGAATTTAGAACTTAACTTGCTCACAAATGTAGCCAACATAAGTAGTATATGCAACAGACTTCAGAAGAATTTAATGTTCACATGTTTTTATACAAAGCAGTTTCTCTTGAAATACAAATTTTAAAGTAATTATTGGTCATTAATGTCCAGGTGAGTTTCTAGAGTCCAAATGTCATACATCATGTAGTTTATTGCTTTCTAGTGAAGCCCGTTATTGATGGTATCTTTCTCTCTCACAAATGACTTTGAGTTTAGAACTTTACCTATTTGATGCATTTTATTTTTAAATTCAGGACTGAGGAAAACAACTTTTTTTTTTTCTTTTTTTTTTTTTTTTGGTTTTTCGAGACAGGGTTTCTCTGTGTAGCTTTGCGCCTTTCCTGGGACTCACTTAGTAGTCCAGGCTGGCCTCGAACTCACAGAGATCCGCCTGGCTCTGCCTCCCGAGTGCTGGGATTAAAGGCTTGCGCCACCACCGCCCAGCTGGAAAACAACTTTTTATAGCAGAAACATCAATGCCAAGACAGAAACCTAGGAGCCTCTGATCAAAGAGAGTAAATACAGTCAGTGTCAAGACATTTATTCACTCAGATTCATGGGAATTAATTTTAAAGTAAGCGTAGTTTGGCTTATAGAAAGTATATCTATTATAGCATGTGGACAGTAGTTTTTTTCCAGCAGAAAAGCATTCTTTAAACAATCTGTTTCACTAGTAGCAGTTGGCTTAGCATGCACATATTCTGATCTCTAGCATCACCAAAATAAGAAAACACCCGTTTCAGAGAAGCACTGCAGAGGTGATTAAGTTCTTGATAGAATTTAGGTGATTGTGGTAATGCTTGTCCTTATATTACTCTGAGCTTGAATTCTTGTGGTTGATATATTGAGCACCCCAATAAACTTATCTTGGGGTCAGAGAACAGAACAGCCACTATATTAAAGATAGGTTTTGGCAGTGGTAGCACACGCCTTTAATCGTAGTATTCAGGAGGCAGAGATCCAGTCTGGATATCTGTGAGTTCAAAGCCACACTAGAAACAGCCAGGCAGTGGTGACATACACCTTTAATCCTAGGAAGTGATGGCAGGAAGCAGAAAGGTATAGAAGGTGTGAGGACCAGGAATTAGAGCCTTTTTTTTTTTAAGCTTTTAGGCTTTTGAGCAACAGTTCAGCTGAGATCCATTCAGATGAGGACTCAGAGGCTTCCAGTTTGAGGAAATAGGATCGGCTGAGAGGTTAACTATGGCTTGTTCTGTTTCTCTGATCTTTCAACGTTCACCCCAATACCTGGCTCTGGGTTTGTTTTTATTTAATAAGACCTTTTAAGATTCATGCTACAAATTCTCATCTGTTGGAGAACAAATGCACAGCAAGTTCTGCAGAATGCTTTGAACTGACGGGCCTCTGAGCAAACTTTCCCTTGACAAGGAATGTCTAGGGATTTATATCCTTATCCTTTTTATAATTGATATAAAAGTTTGAAATGAAAACATGAAGAAGCAGGGGAAGTTTTGAATAAACTTGTTGAAATTTTCAACTAAGTTAAAGTGTCATGTATTGTTTTTGATTTGGTTTTCTATTGCTGTGAAGAGACACCATTACCATGGCAACCCTTATATAGAAAAACATTTAATTGGGGTTGGCTTACTGTTCAGAGGTTTAGTCCATTATCGTGGTGGGAAGCATGGCAGCATGCAGGCAGACATGGTGTGGAGAGGTAGCTGAGAGTTCTATGTCTGGATCAGCAGGCAGGAGGAAGAGAATGAGGCACTAGGACTGGCTTCTGGCTTGAGCATGTAAGACCTCAAAACTCACCCCCAGTGTCACACCTACCCCAACCAGGACACCTCCCAATAGTGCCACTCCCTATGAGCCTGTGGGGACCATTTCTTTCTAACTACCACATGTACCCCTTTTATGTGAAAATAATTTCATCATTTTGCATTATTTACTAGGTATTTTTGTTTATTACTAGTAGATCTGTTACATTAATATTTCAATGAGACATTTAAAGTTTATTACAGAACTGCTTCAATATTTTAATAGTAGGTTGATTTTTTTTCTTTAGAAAAAAAGTAATTTGAGCCCAGTAAGTACTCTACCATGAAAAGAATTCTCTTTCTTTTTTTTTAGGTTTTTCGAGACAGGGTTTCTCTGTGCAGCTTTGCGCCTTTCCTGGATCTCGCTCTCTAGACCAGGCTGGCCTCGAACTCACAAAGATCCGCCTGCCTCTGCCTCCCAAGTGCTGGGATTAAAGGCGTGCGCCACCACAGCCCGGCGGAATTCTCTTTCTATAGACATAAAAATTTTGAATACTGCAAACATTTTTGGATCTTAGTCTAGGGTTGGGATAAAACGCAGTATGGTAAGAATGTAGCAACATTAGCAGCATTTCTCTTTTTGACATGGATAAGAATCAGTCAATTTGCTTGTGTGTGTATGTGTATACACACGCTTTTGGGTTATGATTCAGCCCAAGGTTGAGTCCAAGGATATTTAGCTTTTATGAATCATTCTTGTGTAGATACTCAAAGGACCGTGGGTTGAAAACTACTTTTAAGTGCTTGAACTAATTGTTGTGTCTCCTCCTCCCCACATAAACACTTTTCTTTCTAAACTCATTTTTCTGAAAATATATTCAAGGGTGATTAAACCTCGAAAGTAGGGGCAAGAACAATGCAGTGGTTAAAAAAAACACTTGCCACTCTTACAGAGGACACCAGTTCTGTTCCGAGCACCCATATGGTGCTCACAGTCATCCCACAGGCCACAGGGTGTGGCCTGACCTCTGTGGGCACCAGGCACACAAATTATACATATACACACATGCTGGCAAAACACTCATACATGTAAAATAAAATTTAAAGGGACATGGGTGGTCTAGAGAAATGGCACAGTAGTTAGGAGCACTTGCTGCTCTTGCAGAGGAACCAGACTCAGTTCCCAGCACCCAGAGTAAAATAGATATTAGGAAAAGCTCAATTCTTCCTTAAAGTGAAAAATTACCTAATCTCAGAATTTGGTTTTTCCAATGTAAGATTCTTATAATTAAACCCACAAACTACTAAGGAAAAATACAGGTATTTGTACCTGTGTGGGATAATGCAAATGTTTCACCCAAACATCACTAAGATCACTAAGAAAACTACTTTAAAAAGAACAAGCTTTATCCAGGCCTAGTGATGCATGCAGAGACAGGAGAATCAGACATTAGCTCCATAGCAATATCAAGGCCAACCTGGTCTATAAGACCCTTTCTCTAAAAGTAGCTATAAGAGAAAAAAAAAAACACAAATTCAAATTGATTTGAAATTGCATGTTTTACAGTTTATATTTTTAAGATTATACTAACATTCATACTCTGAATATGCCAAAAATATTAATTTATTTAAACCACTTATGTCCAATCAATATGTTAGTTCCAAAAAAAGTATAATGTGACTGTTTCCTCTGGTATATTGAAGACACAGGTGCAGAGAACATAGAGTGAACAGAATTAGCCATTAGTTGTTTGAAGCTGAGTGGTAAATACATAGGAGTTCATACTTTTCTCTTAACTTTTTAATACAAAAAGTTTTTAGAAATGCAGACAGTTGCTAACATATTTATTTGAAAAGTAAGCATACCTTGAAACTAATGTATTTTGAAAGATGCACTAACAAAATGATTTGAGTAGGAAATCTGTACTCTTCCCTGTTGCTTCATTAGTTGAAAACATTGAGTCCAGTAAGTGTCAGTTGATGGAAAAGATGAAGTTTCCTCATTATATCAACTAAAAAATGGAGCTAAAGAGAAGTTAGATGTGTGTTCTTAGTTCAAGGTCTGTACCTTTGATAGCAGTACACACTGAAAATCTGTAATGGATGTCTGTATAATGTGCTGAGTCCAGAATGTTATTTGCAACATTTTTTGTAATAGTGAAAAGGCTGAAAAATATGTGGTAAGACTGTTAACAGTGTGTACTGATAAGAAAGCCTTCAACTAAGACTGCTCCATGAAAAAAGCAAAGTCAGAATCTTATTTCTGGGCAGTACACTAAGAAAAGAACTTCAGCTGAGTACTTTCTGTGTTATGTTCTCAGTATCTGCTAGCTTTTACAAGATGCTGGCAAGCTCCAAGTTAGCTGTCGGGATGGCATAAGTCACTTTGCAAAAGAAGACTTAACTTCATTTTTATGTGCGTTCAGTTTTCCATCTTAAGTAAATATTGAGTTAAATGAGTTTATAAATAGTATTAAAATGTTACCTGAGCTTTCATTTTTGGAGCTATCCTGACAAAATTGTTGGAGTTAACTTTTGTGGCTTTTTTGCTTATTTATAGATTTATAGTTTCATAATTTTCAGAACCATAGACACTATTAGACTACAATTGCAGTGTAGCCTTAGCCTTATCATTGTGACATGACTTTCTAGTCATACAGCTGTTTATTACTTCAGAATGAATAAAAAAATAACTTAAATGTCCATGATGAAATTGTACAATAATAATCAGGATGGATATCTCAAGAATACTTTTTGCTTGTGTGAATAACAATTCTGTTTCTTTATGAAAAAAATTCACTTATTTAAATAGTAGCTAGAGAAAAATGAGATGGCTACTCACAAGAATAGTTTTAGTAAAATGATGGGTGTGCTCTGAAAGTTCTGAGATAGAAAAGTCTGGTTGATTTAAGTAGCAAGATACTGAAATAGTTTTAAGTGATATTTCCTTCTTTACCTTTATAAGGTATCTTGAAGTTTCATCATTTCATAGCAGTCTATAGTCTTGATTTTTCTTGATTAACATTTATTTTAGAAATTTTATATAAATTATACTAATCTTGGAGTTAAGTAACAGATAACACTTATTTGCCAATACAGACATTGCTAAATTGAAGTTCATAAAGTTTGTAATTTCTGCCATGTTCTTACTAGGTAACAAGAAGGTTGAATTTCAGCCTTTACTATAATTCTTGGTCCCAAATTGGGCTAAGATCCTAGAGCCTTGAGTTTTGAAATTGAGGTGCATTCTGACGACATTTGCTGAAGTGAGTTACTGTTGAAACATCTTGCATTCTATTTTGGATGTCCTTTTAGATGTAGCACTTACACCATAGGACCATTGCTATTTCTGTACCCACTTAGAGGTATCTGCACAATGATTTTTGGGCCAACTGCCAAGATGTACAAAACCACATTCCTGTCTGGTGTACAGCTTTTTCTGGATGGCTGTGACAGGAAGCCCAACAGCAAGCACTCTTGTGTCAATGCAAGGTTCAGTGCAAGCACAAGCACATTTACTCAAGGTAGGAACATCTTTCTATGTTTTTCTGTTCCACATAAACAGCTCATCTGTATTCCAAAGTTTATTCATTTTTTTTCTCTTCAAGAAATTTTAAGTTTACCTTTCTATCCCTGATTAAATCTGTATACTAGCTTTGTAATGTTACAACATTCAAGCCAAAGATAAGGTATTTCTCCTTTCCCTTGCATGTACTTGTGGGGTAACTTAAAAAAAGGGTGGGGTGGGAAAAGGGGAACTGACAGCATTTAGGTCAGTATTTTTCTTTTCTTTTTTGTGACAGGGTTTCTTGTGTAGCTTTGGCTGTCCTGGAATTAGCTCTATAAACTAGTCTCCAGCAAAGTCGTGTGCCACCACTGCCAGGCTTTAGGTCAGTCTTTTAAAACACTTTACACTTCCTTATGTTTAATTACTTTGCTTTTTACATATCAACATTGTTGTCAGTGTTATTAAGCTTCAGGATTTACGAACAGCACAATGAACATATTTCTTACCTGCTTTCTGGTAAAATATTCTGTAGTATACTATTTTTGGGTAGCTAGGAAATTGCTATTTCTTGTCATCCTTTGGTATTCTTTGTCTTTCCTTCTGGGACTCTGAAAGTATCTCATGTAAACTTTAGTAAGATTATACATTTTTAAACTCCCCTTATCAAGAAGCAGTCAGAGCTGGGCAGCACTCTGGAGGCAGAGGCAGGTGGATCTCTGAGTTCGAGGCCAGCTTGGTCTACAGAGTGAGTTCCAGGACAGCCAGGGCTGCACAATGAAACTCTGCCTTGAAAAACAAACAACAAATAAATAAACAAATAACTGGGTGTGGTAATGCATGCCTTTAATCCTAGCACTTGGGAGGCAGAGGCAGGCGGATCTCTGAGTTTGATGCCAGCCTGGTCTACAGAGTGAGTTCTAGGACAGCCAGGGCTACACAGAGAAACTTTGTCTTGAAAAACAAACAACAAATAAATAAACAAATAACTGGGTGTGGTAGTACATGCCTTTAATCCTAGCACTTGGGAGGCAAAGGCAGGCAGATCTCTGAGTTCGGGGCCAATCTATACTGTATTCCAGGATAGTCAGGTTTACACAGAGAAACTGTGTCTCAAAAAAAAGAAAAAGAGCAGTCAGAATATGAGATACATACATTATGGTACAACTTCCCTGCCCCTCTTCTTTTCAGAAAGGATAGTCTTACTAGAGAAACAGTTTTGGAGCCTGGGTTGACTTTTACCTTTTTGGAGACAAGGTTTCCGTGTAGCCCAGGCTGGCCCTGAACTCTCTGCGTATGGGAGAATGGCCCTGAACTTCATATTCTTCTGCTTTCACCTCCCTACTGCTAGGATTACAGGCATCCCCACCACTGAGGATAGACCTAGTATTTTGTATATGATGCACAGGCAGTCTGCCAGCTAAACTATATTCCCAGCTATATTTCATCTCAACTTTTTTAAATAAATTTTAAAAATCACATAAGCCATGTGTGGTGGTGCATGTCTTTAATCCTAGTACTAGGGGATACAGAGGCAGGTGGATGTCTGAATTCAAAGCCGGCCCGGTCTACATAGTGTGTTCCAGCATAGCGAGAGCTACATGGTAAGACCCTTTCTCACCCCCCACCCCAAATCACATGTGTCAAAATGGAAAATACTCACGAAATATACCCAGGAATAGGCTTCTCCTGTTCACCATTCTTCTTCCTACAGAGGACCAGTGTTAAATTCTCAGTCTTCCCTGGGATTTTTTTTTAATCAATATCTTAAGTAAAATATATATGTATCCATATATAGTGTGTATACTGTATATGGATATAGATGTACTATATTTGTATATGTCTAGATATAGCACACATATCTCTGTCTAGATTAAATTTGTAAGCGTGTTTTCCTGTGTAGCTCAGGTGAGGACTGCTTCTTGCTTGGAGTCCTGAAGTCACAGGTCTATATAACCATGCCATTTTATGCCTTGTTCATTGATATGTTTTAGAATTTATTGTGTATAGTGTGGGATATGAATTCAACCAGTTTTCCTTTTTCTAGATAGTATTGAAATGTTTTGTGGCTTAGAGGAGTTGCTAGTGTTTAAATTTAGGGCCTTCCATCTGCTAGGCAAGGATGTTACGATTGGCTACAATTTCTACCCCACGTTAACATTTTTATTTATTTGTTTTTTATGACAAGATCTTGCTCTATTATAAGCTAACTTACTTGGCTTTTCTTCTAAATGTATTTTGTTCCTCAGGGTCCATGTGACTAATTGTTAAATACAAGGTCCAGTAGCATTCAGTATTTGGTAGTAGTCTGCTATTGAAGATTACTGTCTAATATATAAATCTTAGAATTAACTTCACCTGGCAATGGTGGCACACACCTTTAATCCCAGCACTGGGAGGCAGAAGCAGGTGGATCTCTTAGTTTGAGGCCAGGCTGGGCTACAGAGTGAGTTCCAGGAAAGGCTCCAAAGCTATGCAGAGAAATCCTGTCTTGAAAAAAAAAAAAGAATTCAAGAATCACAGCCTTGATCTGAATTCTGATGTTATCTCCTTAGAGACCTTAGCGAATGTAAAATTTATTTTTAAAAAAATGTTTTCCCAATTGGTAACTACTAATTTATTTATACTCTTATTTTCTTCTCACCAAAATTGCTCGGTGAAGCCAAAATGTTTTCCTTTTTATTCCCGTTACTTAGTACTGTACCAAATACAGGGTAGTTCCTTTGTATTTTCCTGAGTAGATGTAATGAATTAAACTTACGAAAGACTTTAAAAACTTGAAGTTAAAACTGGGGACTGGAGAGATGGCTCAGCAGTTATGTGCTGCTCTTGCAAAGGAGCAAGGTTTGTTTCCCAACACCCATGTGGCGGTTTACAACTGTTGGTCACTCTGGTTCCAGAGGATCTGATACCTTCTGACCTTTGCAGGCACCAGGCATACATATGGTACACATAAATATATGCAGGTAAAACACTCATACACAGGAAATGAAAATAAATAAATTTTAAGAAATGTAACTATACTACTGAAGAGAATTGGATTCATAACAGTTCCTTACCCTCTGAATTGAGTAGTATCCAGAAATTTTCAGATCAGTTTATTCCTGGGTCCTGTCACTTTGTTTATATCTTCTAGTGCTTTCTAACCCTTATCCCTCAACTTGGATTCACTATATTATCATGCTTTTGATTTGATTGATTCCTGTAAGAAAAAAGTTCTAAATTGGTCAATTTGAGATCCCAACTCCTCGGTAAGTTGGAAGTCAACTTCAGTTTAATACTGAGCAAGGATGAAGAGCCAGTATTTTCATAGGAAAATTATAAAGACTTGGAGGTATTCCACAATTGGTTGATAGGTCAAAAGTGCTTGTTTTGGAATGAAAGAAGGCACTTAGTACAAAGCAATAGCAAATGCCAGATACTGCTCATGAAGTTCAAACTGTTAAAGACATGCTAAGAGTAAATTGTTTTGACTATTTTTGCTGTAGTTGAATGTCATAAGACCAAATTTTATATTTTTAGTAGAATTTGTCTTCACTTGCACATATAATAATTTCATTAAAATATTTAATGATACAACCTCTAACTGCGTTCCTGTAATTTTTTTCTTTATGTGGGTTAGCATGTGCTAAACTCAAATCTCTAAAGAAATTTACATCAGTATCTGGACATGAAGAGCCTAGTTGAAATTATTTTACTAATTCTTTCTCTCTCTTCCCATTAAGGGTTCTGGTCTCTGCTGACACTGTCTCTAACTGCTGGATTCTCCTGTTGCAGCTTCTCTTGGACAGTGACTTATTTTGATTCTTTTGAACCAGGAATGTTTCCGCCTACTCCTCTTTCACCTGCTAGGTTCAAGTAAGTGCTTCTGGGTTTGTTTGTTTATTTTTGTTTGTTTGTTTGAGGTGTTGGGTGTGTGTGAGTGAATCTGAGTTCTCTTAAACACAGTAAAGTTGAAGAATCAATAAACTGGGATATGTTGAAGCTCTAGATTTCAGTATTAAGACAATAACAACACAAGATTTTTCAGCATTGGCCTCGCCTTTAGGTGAAGAATATTTTAAATTCCCTATCTAAATAATGTACTTTTAAAAAATACTGAAAATCATATTTGTATGCCTATGAATTTGCATTTGATGTGGATAAATATTTAATTCATAATTAAATATTCTAAGAGTTACACTTAAGAGTGGAATACCATACTATAGATTACTTGGTAGCATTCAGTCAGAAAGCTTATTGGCTAAAATGGAAAAAGTTTAAATTGATATTCCTTTGCTGCCCATTATAGCAATATCTTTAGTAGAGACTATCAGTCTTGTGTCATGTGCTCATTTTTCTTTTATTTGTATTTGACTTCTTCCCTGATTGCTAGTCTTGTATTTCCAGCTCTTTTGGCCTTAAGAGTTTTGAGGATTAAAGAGTTTTAGTGTTCTTTTAAAGATCTATTAACTAATTATATTGTATTAAGTTTTAATAAATTAATTTTTTTATTAAATTGTAAGTAGAAATAAGGAACCTCTTGTCAAATATTTATTAGTCATTAAAATGATAGTTTTAGATCACTTACTTTGTGTACTTGATTGTCTAGTATTAAAAAGTTTTAAAGCACTTATAAAATATATTTTAGTATGCTGTGTTAATACTAATTTTTACTAGTAAACACAAAATTTAAAATACAAAATTATTTTATGTTTATTCAAGTGAAATTTAAGTATACGTTGAAGTATACACATAAACACAAAGTTTGAAAATGAAAATATTGCCCTCTAGTGTTCATGAAAATAGACAATTATTTCACAATGTCTAAGTGTGTATTCTCCGTGTAACCAGTAGAGTGAGTCCTTGCACAGGAAAATAGACTCTTCCTTACGAAAATGTTGAAATCTTTAGACTGTTTACTTAGAAATGAGATATATTTCCCTAATGTATAATATAATGTTTTAATAAAAATAACTTTATAATATGTTATAGCTTATCTTACTACCTAAAATAAAGTTAATATAAACATGTTTGTTGCTTGCTTAAAAGTAATTCTGATTCTTGGTTGAAAGATATTAAAATAGCCTTATGGATATAGCTCGCTTGCTTAGTGTGCGTGTGGCCCTTAGTTTCCTCCCTGGCAGTACATAGTGTGTAGTGGTGCGTGTGTTTAATCCCAGCTAGTTCAAGGCCATTCTCGGACTACATAGCACGTTTGAAGTCAATCTGGGCTACATGAGACCTTGTCTCAAAAAGAGACAAATACAATGAGTAAGTGTGTGTGTGTGTGTGTGTGTGTGTGTGTGTAGATAATGGAAATAACCTATGAAAATTACTACCAACATTTTTTTTTTTTTTTTTTTTTTTTTTTTTTGGTTTTTCAAGACAGGGTTTCTCTGGGTAGCTTTGCGCCTTTCCTGGGACTCACTTGGTAGCCCAGGATGGCCTCGAACTCACAGAGATCCGCCTGCCTCTGCCTCCCGAGTGCTGGGATTAAAGGCGTACGCCACCACCGCCCGGCTTACTACCAACATTTTAACGTATGTTTTTCCATTCTTTCTGTGCCTTATGATTATTTTAGAAATGGGAATTGGGATCACCGTGTATATACTATTTTTCATGATAGTCAAAATTCAAAAATGTAATTGTTTTATTTAAATAGTCTTGATATTCTTTATAGAATAAAACATTTTAATAAAAGACAGAATAACTAATTTCAAGGGAAAAAAATCAAGGCTCCTTTTCTATGACTTGCATTTAACTGAAACAAAATTCTTAATGAAATAAAGTAACGTTTCTTGCTATTTAGTAAATATGAGGTGAAAATATAATAAAATTAGCAATCTGAATAAATAATTTAGCTTGATACTAAAAATGAAATACTTTTCTTGTCACTTATTTTTATTTAACAAAAATTGTACTACATTTTATTTAATTGTGTGTATATGTGTGCTGTTGCCAACAGGTACACATGTGTGAAGGTCAGAGGACACTTTGGAGGAGTCAGTTCTGGCCTTCCACCATATGGGTTCTAGGGATTGAATTCAGTTCTTCCAAGCTTGGCCAAAAGCACTTTTACCTGCTGAACTATCTTGCCTTCTACCAGTATATTTTTTTAATTTGGCTAAGTTTACAAATGCATGGAGCCATTTTCCTGTCAAAGTCCATTAGGTACCTTTTTGAAAATATTGCTTTATCTTTTATTTCTAAAAGTGCTATGCAAAAGTGAAAATTTTGCCCTAATATACTTCTAAAATAATTACATGGAGAACTATGTCTTAGCTACTTGGAATTTGCATTGTTAAAGAACAAAGCAGAAGTTGGGATTTTGTGGAGTATCTACAGTATTCCTTAGTTGTCATTAGGTTATAATTTAGTCTTGTATAATTCATTCTTTTTTCCCCACAATGTCTCATCAGTATCTCCAACTCACTTTCCTCATTCATTGGGTCTTATGAGTGGGTTCCAAGCAGGCAATCAAGTGTATGCATCGTCATTACTTTATGTTGTGGCATCTACATAAGGCACCTCCACACAAAATTACCATATACAAAGAGACCTTTAAGTTATTTTGAGGTTCATTTTAGGAAGGCTAGTGGCAGAACCAAACATTTTATTTAAGTCTTTTGTGATTGGAGAGGAAGTTAGGTAGGATATCTACCTTGAAGCTGAATTTTTCCTAAAAGTACAACTTTTAAACTAGTAATTTAGTACAAGAGATGTCTTAGGGATTCCAAATAAAGATCATAGAGGAGCCAAGTTTCTAAGCTCCCCATAGGTGGTACCATTAATAATGTTCTTCCATTTTATAACATGAAGAAACCGAGTCCCAGGACCTGAAACAGCTTGTACACTCCAATTATTTGCATGTAACCTAATGCATCTGACTACTTTTGTTTTGCCTCATAAACTCACTGACTTCTACATTATAAAATAAACCAATAGGGGAACTTTTACTAATTGTGACTTCGTTGACACCTAACTGAGCTTTTATAGTATGGCCGTTTTGCCTCTGCAGTGTTGCTGTATAGAGTAGCAACTTTTTTTTTTAACATCTATCCTCAGCTTCACTGTTCTCCCTAAGTCAGTGACACTTTCTAATTTAAACTGCACACATTTTACATTACCTCTATACAGGCACCATCTAGTGGTAAATGGTCTGTCTATAGGCTTGCAATTATTTCACATGCTAAAGATAAAACCATGTAATTACTGAAAAATCTTACCTATAATACAAATATTACTTTGTAGACTAGTAATAAATTTAGTGGGAAATGGAAAAAAAAATCTGTTGGTGACTTGAAAAAAATGTTCATTGGGTCAGAAGTCCATATATTCCTATAACCTTTGTGGGGTTATAAAACCAAAATAACCTAGGCGTTCCAAAGTAAGTCATTTCTGTTTTATTGGTGTTACATTTTACATTTAAAGTGAATTTGTATAACCTAATCATAGGTCTGGTGGACTTCCATAGCTAATTAGCTCGAACATTGTGAAGGGAGTTACAAGTTATACTAAGAAGCCTTTTTTATTCTTCTTCCAGTGCTGGGCATTGAGCCTAGGGCCTTCACTTGCTTAGCAAGCATTCTACCATTTGAGCTATATTCCCAGCTGTAAAGAAGTATTTTATGTCACAAAGATAAATTATTATTTTATACTATGAATATACATCAAGATTTATTTCCAAGGAGAGAAAAAAGTTTGTGCTTATAATTACAAGACTAGGAGAACTCTATTATGGAAATAAGTGCTGCTAGAGATTTCAAAATTCCAATCTTAAGCTGATCAAAGATTAACTAGCAAAATGGCTCAGCAGATAAAAGTGCTTGCTGCCAAGCCTGGTGACCTGACCTGAGTGTGATTCCCTAGGAGGAGAGAATCAGTCCTCAGAGGTTGTCCTCTACCTTCACTTTCATACCATGGTATACCTCTCCCCAACTAAATAAACATGATTTAAAAAGTTTAAGATTTCTGGTGTATTGTGTATTTGAATCTAAAGCTTAGATTGAATAACTTAACTAAGAAACATTTTAAATAGACTTCTTGCTTCTGTTAAGTAACACTGAAGAAATGACATGCTGTAGTCAATAGCATTGCAGATATGGAGGCTACTTCAGCTCTTAATAAATAAATCTTTAGCCACCTTCTATGATAATAGCTCAACTTGAGTCTCACAACTAACAATGAACCTACTTGAGGCTAACTTGTTCTAAGAATTATTGAGACCAAGGTTGGATAAAGCACAGGGACAAATAGCCAAACGAATGGAAACACATGAACTATGAACCAATAGCTGAGGAGCCCCCAACTGGATCAGGCCCTCTGAATGGGTGAGACAGTTGATTGGCTTGATCTGTTTGGGAGGTATCCAGGCAGTGGGACCGGGTCCTGTGCTCATTGCTTGAGTTGGCTGTTTGAAACCTGGGACCTATGCAGGATCACTTGGCTCGGCCTGGGAGGAGGGGACTGGACCTGCCTGGACTGAGTCTACCAGGTTGATCTCAGTCCTCGGGGGAGGCTTTGCCCTGGAGGAGGTGGGAATGGGGACTGGGCTGGGGGGAAGGAGAGGGGGCCGGGAGCAGGGAGAACAAGGGAATCTGTGGCTGATATGTAGAACTGATTTGTATTGCAAAATAAAAAAAAAAAAAAGAATGATCTACCATTTGCAAGGGTAAGGCAGGAGGCCTGCCATGAGATCAAAGTTAGCCTGGGGGTTACATAGTGAGTTCTAGGGGAGCCTGAGACTAGAGATCCTGTCTCTAAAAACAAATTATCTCCTCCTTAATGCAGTTTAATTACCTTGAATATCTTTGTTTACAATATGAACTTTTGTTAAAAAGAATTACAGTAGTAACAGGGCTGTCTCTGACTCTTTT